AGATTCTTAAGATGAGTTGTACATCAATCGATAGAGAATTAAATTCTCTACAAATTGATCTACAACTCATCTTCGGGCAATGGATCGTTTTTATAAAATTTTTCTTTTTTTCGAATTTTTTTTGTTTTTTCTACCCACTGGACTCAGATTTGAGGCTGGATGACCGATGTCAAAATGGATTCTTAAGATGAGTTGTACATCAATCGGTAGAGAATTTAATTCTCTACCGATTGATGTACAACTCATCCTCGGGTAATGGATCCTCTTGATAAAAGTTTTTTCTTTCTGGTGAGTTGAGCGATAGTTCAGGATGGATGACTCATATAGGTGGTGTTTTACGTGTTTGAGAAACTTATTTTGATTCGTTTTAAAAAGGTTATTATTTTTGTTTTGGTTTTATGAAAAATAGTGTGGTTGCTGAGGTAGTTTTGTATGGTATTTCATGGAGTGTGAATGGTAAATTATGGTCGAAAGCTTATTGGTCGATTTGAAAGTCGCTCCTGATTGGCCGTCGTGCTAGCTTCACATCGATAAAGGAATTCATAAAGAATTGAAATGGTTACTTAAATTTGAAAATGATAATTTTCAAAAATATAACCAGTCGAGTGCGACATCTATGTCACACATGTCTTTTTTTTCATATTTTTAATTTTTAAAAGTATATAGACAAAAAAAAAATTAGTAAATAAAATAATTCATTTGAAAATTTTCTTATGTATATTTACAGTATAACATAGTTGGAAATTGTTTTGTTCCATTACTACTACTACTACTTGTCGATGAAAGGTTACTCATTTATCGATTCATTGATTTTTCTCAAATCCTCTCCACAGATAGTCTTGACCAATCAAATTAAAAAAAACGAAAACAACTAGACTCAAGCTGAAGCAGATTGCACATCTTGATCGTAATCATTCATAGTTATTTTCTTTTTTTTTGTTTATCTTATACTCGTTTATTTTTCTATTCTTGCGTCATTTATATTACTTGTATTTTCAATTTAATTTCAAGATCTTATTTTTTCAATATGTCTGAATATTGGAAGTCAGGTGAACGACATTATTGTAAATTTTGTAAATGTTGGTTAGCTGGAAATAAAATTAGTATTGATTTACATGAACGTGGTAATCATCATAAAAGTATGGTTAAAACTAAACTTGATCAATTACGTAAAGAAAGTATTGAAAAAGAACATCAAAATAAACAACTTAATCAAACACTTGGACACATGGAACGTGCTGCTAATGAATCATTTCGTCGTGATATGGCATTGAATTCAAAAAATGTTTCAACTTATGGTGAAGGAAATAATTCATCATCATCCGATATTAATCTTCCATCAAAACTTAAACGATCAATAAATCAACCTGTACAAGTACAATGTAAAAAACCGAAATTTGTTCTTAAAACTCCAACACCTAAACCAATTTTTGAACCTATTCCTACATTAACAGAATCAAAAGAAGAAGAAGAAGAAGAAAAAGAAATATCAACAACAAATAATGATAAACAAGAAGGTACTTGGTATGAATCAAAAACTGAAACACAAGAATCATTCTATTGGAATGATACAACTGGTGAATCAACATGGATACCACCAGCTGTTTATCTTTCAATTGAACAACAACGAGCAAAAGGATTAAAAGTTTGATTTCTTGTTTGTATATTTGATGTTCTTTCTTTTTTTTTGTTTTTGTATTTCATATTATGTAAACAGATTATCTAATGTTCTCGTATATAAATTTCAGATAAAATATAAATTAACTTACTATATTAATAATGTCGAGTGATGCACGAAAAAAAATTTATAAAAATACTGGACTTGATAGCGAAGAAATACGTAAACGACGTGAAGATCGTACCATTGCATTACGAAAAGAAAATCGAGCAAATCTAGTAAGAAAATTGCATTGCATTTGTTTTTTCTATATTAGATTTTTTTGCTTTTTTTTAGCATAACAAACGACGAAATTTAGCAACTGCAAATGAAGAAGAAACACCAACTTCATTTGGTGTTGCCGATGCAACTGTTCCATCTACTGAACCAATAGAATCAGTAAGAATAGTCAAACAAATATTTCTTCATATGAAATATTTTCGTTTTTATTATCTATTCGTCTAACATTTATCTTTGAAACTTTTAATTATTCTAATCAAAATTTATAGTATTGTCTGTAACATACAAAATCATTCTTGTTTATTTATAATTTAAGAATATCCTTCGACCTTTGGACTACTTCTGATATTCGAATTTTTAACGCAGCTAGATTATTGAAAAATTTCAAAAAACTATCGGATTTGCTTATGATCAAGGTTTTATTTTATTTGACCAAGCTGAAAATTTTTTCTGAAGTTATATTAAAGAATCTCGCTAGATTGGCTGAGACAATGTTCATTTCATGAGAAATATAGTTCGATTTTTCAAGCCTTCGTTCTCGAGATATCGAAATTCTATTGGATTCTTTAACCAAATGTTGTAATCTCATGTGAAAAAATGGTTTTATAGTTTTGACTTCAAACTTTGCATGAATTAAATAGTCAAGGAGATCAGTTAATTATACAATGTTTATCTATTTACATCTTTCAAAGAGAAATAGTAGAAAAGCTATAGCTTGTATAATTAACTAATCTTATTATGAAGTTTGCAGTCGAAAGTTGGTTTTTCATGTGACCCGAAAGTACAGTTCTGTGGCTCTCAAAATATCACATGGAACTAATATTAATCATATATACTAAAATCTTTAATATTCAACAATGAAGATTTCGATTTCAGTTTTTTTTTTTGAACTACCGAAGAGATTATCACAGCTTTTGGTTGAAAAATTCCAGTAAAATTTAGATATCTCAAGAATGAAGTTTCACAAAAATCAAGCCATTTCTGAACTTTTCTATTAAAATAATTAAAAGATGATTTTTCACCTCTTGAGACTTTTTCATCGTAGGTATCGATGTGACCGAGAATATTTTATGACGCATTATTCTAGTATTATTTAATACTATTTTCTCTTATCTCAGGTTATCACAAGTCAGATGGTAGCTGCATTACATGGTGATGATGTACAACAAATACTTGATATAACTATTCGTTTTCGAAAATTACTTTCAAAAGGTTTTTATTATTTTATTAAATTATATTCCACATAGTTGATATAATTATTTTTTAATCTAGAACCAAATCCACCTATTGATGAAGTTATTAGAGCTGGCATAGTACCTCGTTTTGTTGAATTATTAAAATTTCAACATTTTCAAATTCAAGTATAATAATAAAACATCTAAGTTTAGAAAAAAAACGCGTTTTTTTTTCTTCAATCTAGTTTGAAGCAGCATGGGCTTTAACAAATATTGCATCGGGTAATTCAAATCAAACTAAATATGTTATTGATGCTGGTGCAGTACCAGTTTTTGTTCAATTATTAACTAGTACAAATGAAGATGTTCAAGAACAAGTAAATCTTAGTTCTTGTTTTCGTTTTTGATGTATATCTATTGTTTTTAGGCTGTTTGGGCTCTTGGTAATATTGCTGGAGATAGTCCTGATTGTCGTGATTATGTTCTTAGTACAGGTGTACTTCCACCATTATTGACGTAAATATTTATGCATTATTAGCATCTTAAGTATCATCTATATACTTTTTTTTTTTCTCAAGTATTTTTGCTCGTCATACTCGTTTAACCATGATACGTAATGCAGTATGGTGCTTATCAAATTTATGTCGTGGTAAAAATCCACCTGTTGATTTTAATACGGTAAATAAAATGAAGTTTTGATTTTTTTTTTTTAAACTAAACATTTTTATTATATAATTTAGGTTGCTTTAGCATTACCTGTACTCAATCAACTTTTACATAATTATGATGCTGATGTATTAGCTGATACTTGTTGGGCTATTTCATATTTATCTGATGGACCAAATGAAAAAATTCAGGCTGTTATTCATGTTGTTGATGTTCGACGACTTGTTGAACTTTTAGCGTAAATTTTTTTTTTATGAATAAAAATGATTATTTATTTTTTAATTATTATTAGACATCCTGTTTTGAATGTTCAATCATCTGCATTACGTGCTGTAGGTAACATTGTTACTGGTGATGATCATCAAACACAGGTAATTATATTTATTTAATTTAAAAAAAAAAAGTTATATGCATTATTTTTCTATTAGGCTGTACTTGATGCTGGTGTTCTTCCACATCTATTAACATTACTTCAAAGTCAAAAAGAATCAATCAAAAAAGAAGCATGTTGGACATTATCTAATATAACTGCTGGTGTTCCAAATCAAATTCAAGTAAACTTCTGAAGATTTCTTTGTAGATAAATGTTTGATATAGCGAAAGAGATTGTACTTATCCGAACATTGGGTTGGTCCATCCTATAGCTGAGTCTTTAAAACATAACAGACAAACAAATTTTAGTCTGAAAAAAATTGCTCATAGACAATTCTATTCTCATACACATCATACCAAAGGGTCATAGCTCCAATAGAATAGCTGATAGAGAAGAATTTTTTAAGTCTCAACAGATTTTACATAATAAATTTTTTACCGAGTCGCATCGCACTAGTCGAGAATGTTTTATTGTTTTGTTAATAAATAAAATTGAAAAAAATTTCTCCTTTAGGCTGTTATTGACGCAAATATATTTCCATCATTAATCAATATTCTTAAACATGGTGATCAAAAAACACGAAAAGAAGCAGCTTGGGCTGTTACAAATGCAACATCAGGTGGTACACCACAACAAATCAAGTAAAACCTTTTGATTTCTTTTTTTTTAGTTTGATGAAAATTTTCCTTTAATAAAAAAAAAAAAAAAATATTTGTCTTATTTAGATATATTATTGAACAAGGAGTTATACCACCATTATGTGAATTATTAAGTGTTATTGATGCTAAAATAATTCAAGTAGCTTTAAATGGTCTTGATAATATTCTTAAAATTGGTGTAATTGAAAGTAAACAAACAAATGGACAAAATCCATATGCTGTTATGATTGAAGAATGTTATGGTTTAGATAAAATTGAATATTTACAAAGTCATGAAAATATTGAAATCTATCAAAAAGCTTTTCATCTTATTGAAACATATTTTGGTGTTGATGACGAAGAACATATTCTTGGAGTAATAATAATAAATTTTTATTTTATATTTTATTATTATTATTGTTTTTTAATAGGAAGGTGAATCTCATTCATTTGAATTTGGTCTTACAACAAATAATCCTACATCATCTATGAGTGGACAATTAAATCCTACAAATCAACAAGGTCCATTTCAATTTTGAACACAAAATCAAATGATGAAAACATCTAATTCATCGGACATATATATATATAATTTAAACTCGAAAATTTTCTTTTTCTTTTTTTTGTTTTCTCATTCTGTTGTCATCGCGAACGAAAAAGTAATTAGATGTTTTGTTTTTTTTTCCGACACGAAATCTTTTCTTTTTCTATTGCCGGTGATGTGTATTTTTCTTTTCATTGTTTTTGAATTACATCACAATATGAATAATGATGACAGCAAATATAATTGTATGCTTGGGTTTTTTTTTGTTTCATAAGGAAAAATCACATATATATGATTAAGTTATTATTATAAGAGACAGAGAAAAAAAACCGTGTACGTATCAATGTTTGTTGTTAATAAAAGAAAAAACAAAACAACATTATATTTACTTTGAAAAGATTTTTGATAATGAGTCAACATTTTGTTATCAGTAAAATAAAAAAAGACACGAAAGAAAATATTCTACTTCTAGATTGTTACAATAAAATAAGGAACTGTTGTTATTCGATCACAATATGTGTCGTCCAACAAAACAAGTATGTCAATTCTAAATTATAAAAATTATGAAAGGAAAATATTAGTCATTTGTAAGTTTCATTATAGAAGTGTCGAAATTAGTAATCTTTTAAAGTAATACTATTAGAGTCTGCCGAATTGATCTCAATGAACTTTAACTAATGTTCAGCAATGATAGGTGAGAATTTCTAAATTTGTGTGATTATTGTTTATAATGAATATTGATCATTGAACAAATTCACACTACTTTCTATGAATAATTCTTAAGATATAAATGTTTAGTTTTCTTTTAACATGAAATACTAATAACTTTTGGGGTGAGTATTATTTTTAAATTTCAAAGACTTTCTTCGAAAACGAATTTAAAAACTTAACTGAGAAATATTATTTTTGATACTCTCGCATGTAACTTCAAGTCATTATATTTTAATGACATAAAGTTTTACATATTTGGTTACACTTCTCAATACGATTACATAATTCTTATTTCCAATAGATAATATATGTAATGTAATCGATGTTTTGTTGTTTAATAATATCTATTAACCCTTTTTTTTTGTGTAATTAAAATAGATAGGAAGAATTCTCTATTCTAGAATTATTAGAGAAACATTTTCGACCGATACTAATGCCCACAATGGTCACTCGATCGTCGCCTATCAGTAAATCCAGTCTAGTTCCCTCAAAATCTTATGAAAACAAGATTCGTTATATATCATTCGACTTGCTCTACAACATGGCATGTTTTTTTTTAATTCTGAATAGGTCACCAAATCCAACACGCTCCTTTTTAAAATTCTCAGAACTTTTTGATCCAGCTATGTATATTGAGAACTTCTTTTAGAATCTCTAATTTATATTAACTGACAGATAGAATAGACTAATTTATTACTTAAGAATCAGTATCTAACAACAAGTTAAAATGTAGATAGATGAATGTTCATTTTGTATGAATAATAATCTTATATTTTCGTATTCGAACAATGAATAAATCTTATGAGAGAATTTTTTCAATTGATAATTTCCAAAAGCTACTGGATTATGAAATTGTCGAAAAGTTTATTAGTCTAGAAAAATGATTTATGAAGGTCTAAGGAGGTTTCTTATGATTATATTCGAAATCAGCATAGTTGATCATGTAAAATCCATTAGCATTCAATGTTAAAAGCGATCGATTAATCAAGTTTTAATCTCGATTTCTTTTTTTTTTGTCTATGTATTGAACTATGATTTTAGCAAACTGCAAAAGAAAAAATTGTTGATCATTATTATCAAGAACAACAAGATAATGTTCTTAATACAATTATATTACAACAACAAATGGAATTAGAACAATTAATTCAAATTGCAGAGAATCTCAGAAATGATATTATTAAATTACATGATCAAGAACAAGAATTAATTCAACGTTTAAATATCATGAAAACATCTGAAACATCTCTATTACATAATATTTATTCATTTTTATCAAATAAAAATGTTCTTTTATTAGGTATGCAAAAAAAGAAAACAATAAACAATGATTGAATGAAAAATTTCTTCTTTTAGTTTCTGGTTTTGTCACAGGTTTCTATATCATCCCTACTATAAGTAAACTATTTTCTTCAGGACGTGTTTAAATAATATACTTTTTTTTGTCTCCTTTTTTTTGTTTGATATTTTTTGGGCATCTTCTTTGTGTTTGATGTTGATAAGTTTTAGATGGATTCTGATGGTGATGATGATCAAGTTTTAGTAAACACTGCACTTGATTATACAAAAGTACTAAAAAAAAACAAAAACTAATTTTATATATACTATTTATTATTTAATTTTTTCTTCTTTAAATATTTAGCTTGATGCAATTAATCAACGACTTCAAACCGAACATATTAATCAATTCTTAATTAATACTGTTCATTTTTTTAATACATTAAGTGCACAAGTTGAAAATAAATTTCAAAAACTTGAAATTAATTTACAACGTATTGATGCTGATTTTGCAATTCTTGATTCTAAAGTAAAAAAAAAAACAATATTCTGTCGAATAAAATAATCTATTCATAATTAAGAAACCAAATATAGCATACCGTAGATCAAGTTGATATGCGTCGAATGGTATGTTTTCATGTCTTCAATGATGCTATGCCCATAGAAGATATGATGAGAGGTCAAATTTTTTCAGAAATTACCCACGATGTAATCCTACACAAGATACTATGGATAGCTCATGAATAATTTTTTACAAACATTTTCAACTGATACCAAAGACCACAATGATCAGTAACTGATCATTGAAAATTCTATGAAAGTAAGATTTACTATATACCATTTAATGGACTTCAATTTGCTCTGTAATATGATAAATTTGGTTTCTCAATTAAGAATAGACTACCTTATTCAATATTTGTTATTTGTTTACTTGTATTTTTAGCTTCGCTCAACACCGGGATATCAACCACTTGATCTTGCTGATGTTTTAACTCCAACAACATCTGCATCTACTACACAACAAACAAATATATCAGTAACAACTACGGTTCCACCTCCTCCTCCACCGGTGCCAACTGGAGGACCACCACCAACTGAAGGTCCACCACCACCTCCGCCTCCACCTCCGCCACCAGAACCAGAAAAAATCGAAGATCCTCGAACGGAAAAATATCGAAAAATGCTGGCTGTGGTATGATAAAATTCTTATTAAATCAATTTATTTCGATGATAATTTTACTTTTGTAGCGTGTACCACGTGAGGCTGTTCGACATAAAATGGTTGGTGAAGGTTTAGATCAAGCTACTATCGAGTATATTTATTTATTCGAAATTTTATTCTTAATTCATTTTTCTTTTTTTATTCTAGATCAGTCATCGGTCCAGATTAACAATTGCAATGATCAAAAGTCTTTTTTGTTTTTTTTCTTTACTTATGTAATTCTTTCTTTTTTTTTTCAATTTATAAATAAAGTTTATCTAATTTATTTCTTATAATTAGAAGCAAATATTTGTTCATTTTGGCCTACCTAAAAGCATTTCAATTATACATTGTGACTAGAATTTGACTATAGGCTTAGACATGTTATGACAATTCTCTTTTTCGAAATCGATTATTTAGCTGTGACTTCTTTCAATATATAAAATAGTTTATTCATTACTTTAAAAAAAACACATATTCTAGATAAATATGAATATACATCATCAACATGCTACAATCTATTCTTCTACACCTAAACTTGTTGAATCATTTTTAACTATTCCTCGTGTAACAACAGATCGAAATGATTTTATATCATCACTTGTTCATACTCTTGTACAATCTGATACAATAAAACAAACATCACTTATTGAATCTCTACGACATCAACAACAAATAATTGGTACAAATTCAAAAAATATTCATCAATTTTCTCGACAAAAACGTAAACATTTATCACGTAAAGGAAATAAATTATTATCAAAAATAATAAAAAAAGTTCGTCATGATGCACGACAAATACGTAAAACAGATTTACAAATTGATTATAAAAATTATTTATTTATGAATGATTTATGGAAACAATATATAACAGAATTATTAAAAAATGCAACAAATAATGAAACTATTCTTCAAGGTATTCTTACTGCTGATTATCATGGATGTTTAATACGTATTGTTAAAGCTAAAAATTCATCATTAATTGGAAAAGAAGGAATTATTATTCAAGAAACAAAAAATATGTTTGTTATTATTGAACAAAATAAAAATCGACGATGTTCTATACTTAAAAAAGATTGTCTTTTTTCTATCGATATTATTGTTAAAAATAAACAACAAACAATATTTATATCAGGTGCAGCTATTGCTGTACGACCTGAACAACGTGGTCAAAAACGATCGACAAGCATTGAATATATGCATGAATTTTGTTAATCTTTTTTCTTTTTATGTTTTGATTTATAGAAAAAGATAAATAAAAAAAAACAAAACAAAAATATTAATACGAATAATTTCATTGGTATTGTTTTTTGAATATTCAAAATGATTTTGTTTGTTTTTTTTCTGCAATCTTAAACGTTAAAAAGAATCATAATAATGATTCTACTAAAGAAAATCATTTTCAATAAGAATGACAAATAATTCTCAAAGAGAAAGTCTCTAGAAAACCATAGTTTTTCAATAATTGGAAGATGCAACTACCAAATTAACCAGTATGATAGAGTAAACCATTCTCTATCAATTGCAATATCTTCGAGCTTTCTATGATGTTTTTTTTTACGGAGATACTGCACTTTTATGGTATGTCTTAAATGAATATCATGGTCTTCCTCAGGAAAACTTATTTTTGAATACTTAATGTAACAAGTTCTGATTATTTGCTCTGAATATAAATTCACCTTACTTATTTTTCTAGATGCCGTACTCAGCAAATGTTAAATTACCACGCTTTATGATGCATTTTTCCTATGCTGGTCAAGCTTATGCTGGTGTTCAAGTTAATCCAAGTGCTAAAATTGATAGTGTACAAAGTGTTATTGAACGTGCACTTTATAGTTTTCAATCAACAAAATATCCTCTCCGTTTTGGTGTTTCATCTCGTACTGATCGTGGTGTACATGCATTACATAATACAGGAACATTTGATTGGATAGCACCTATTGATATTACAACTCTAGTTCAACCATTAAATACTTATTTAACAGAAAAAAATGAACAAATACGTATTTTACGTATACATTCTATATCACCACAATTTCATTTTCGTCGTCATTGTCTTGGTCGTAAATATGTTTATCGATTAGGTTTTCTTAATGAACATGAATTTACAAATATTAATACAGATATTCCATTTTTAAGAAAAAAACATCGTCATCTTTTACGTGATATGACACCAGCTATGAATAATCTTTTTGAAAAAGATTTTCTTACTTGTATTGAACCACCATACGATTTGGATGCATTTCGAAAAGGAATTGAAGTTTTTCAAGTAAATTAATAATAATAAAGTAAACTAAAATCTTGTTTTCTTCAAATAGGGTCAACATAATTTTGCTGCATTTACAAATAGTCAAGGTCGTGTAAATATGGCACTTGAACGTCGTTGTCCTGTAAAAACAATGCGTCTTAATTTTAGTGAAGGTGAACATTTAATACCATTAATGGAATGTTCACCATTTCATTCTTCAATGCGTATTTATAATCTTGTTTTTGAAGCTGAAGCATTTCTTTATAAATTAATTCGACGTATTACTGGTACATTAGTACATATTGCTAAAGGACAAATGACAATTCAAGATGTTCTCGATCGTTTTGCTTGTCCACCTGATCATTATGATAGTCCATTACCAATTACAATGAAACCACATGGTTTATTTTTGTATGAAGTTAAATATAATGAACAAGATTTTCTTAATCCACCTATGCTTAAAGGTGATGATTCGGTAGCTGATGATATTGATGATGTTATGATCGAAATGCAAGAAGAAGATGATGAAGATGATGAAGAATTAAATAGTAAAATGGTGGTTGTGAGATAGTGAATGTATTATTTTAGGAAATTAATTTCTAAAAAGTTAATAAAATACGTCACAGAATTTCTACCTATTGTATACGAACTAACTTTTACTTTGCTAAATATATATATGAACAAATTTCTTACTTGTTTGAATAGTGCTAATATTTATCGATCATCTCATGACATACAAAACACAAGTAGATTTATTTTATTCGGATTTAATTCGATTGATAAAAACATATCTGACAGAGTTTAAAATTACAGACATCCTTCATTAAGATTGTTGATCATGGTGAAAAATCTACATTTCTTCAATTACCTAATTTTTTAGCTTTTTTGTTTCTACAATAAAGTTATTGAGTTTGAAACTCAGTAGTTACTATAATCTGCTGCGGTTACAAAAAAACTATGAGTTTTTAAATGGCTTCTGAACTTCTGAAACATCCATTGTTCCCACTGTAGATTCAATTACATGGCAACTTAAGGCTGTGCGTATTATCTGTACACTGATGCATGAGCTCACATCTACACTCAAAACAATCAATTATTTATCTTCATCATCATATAATATAGAAAATTTATTGAGAAAAAAAAAATTACAAACAATGATTAGATATTTATATTTTATCAAACTCATTCATTAACTTTTCGTATCTATCTATTACACTATATTCGTATTTTTATATCTGTGTGTATTTTCTTTTTGTTGAAGTTTAGATTATAATAAAAGATTGATAAAATATCTATTCAGTAGTATATATAAAAAAAGCAATTATAATTTTTTTCTTGATATTTATTTCAAACAAGATAGTCAGTCATTCATATACTTCATGATATTCTACGATAAAATCAATCAAACAAGGCATCATGCCTTTTTCTTTTTACACATTTTGCTTTCCCTCTTGTCGATTCGAACGAATTAAAAAAAATAAAACATAAATGTGCTATGATCTGCTCTTTCTTCTCTAATTGCTTGCTGTATGTAAACGCATCATACTGTGTGGGCAAAAAACTAAGAGCCAAAAGCAATATTGATTATTTTTATTTATGAGTTTTCGTTTTTCAATCATTGGATGGTAAGGCATTTATACATTCATTTTCGTTCTTGTTCTTCTTTGCTTGTTTGACGCACAGATACTTCGTCTGTATTGTTGAAACGAGTATACTAAAAGAAGTCCTTACACTAAGGAACAAAAAACACACACTCCTATCGCGATCGCCCAAAAACGTATCCAAAAAAGTTAGAAACAGCAATATACATATGGAGACAAAATCTATCATGGATAATAAGAAATTAATAACATCCGTTGCTACAGGATCAGCAGCTATCACCACCCTCGACAGTACCGCTTTGCCGCCTCGTCGTGTTCGTTGAATTTTAGAAAGTCTTCTTGTGTGGCTCGATGCCAATATTGACGAATTGAAGGAAGATTTTAAACACTCATTAGCACATCTACGGCATATCATAGCATCAATTAGAACATTTACTAATGCTGAGAAATGAATTAAATTTATGAACGAAATTAAAGAAGAAAAAAATATTTTTGATCATTTCTGGTTTACTCGGACGACACATTGTACCGCAAATCCATGCATAGCCACAATTGAATTCCATTTATGTATTTTGTAGCAATCAATCGATTCATGAACAACGGGCCAAGACTATGTCGAAGATGAAAGGCGTACATAGTCATATCGATCCGATTTGTAAAGCCCTGCTAATGGATAGTAAACCATGAGATCGAGCTATGATCTCGATCAGTTTCCGTGGCATTGATCCGTCGTTTATATGCACACAATTGTTTAAAGAAGCTGTTTTAGAAACCGATGATGACGATACTAAACGCATTAAAGAACTCGTTGAGTTCTTTCGTCTTCAAGATGAAATTCCTGAAGACGAGATTGAAAAGATCGAACAAAACTATCGTCGTCACACATCTGTTTGGTGGTATACAGCTCCATATTTTATTTACTCGGTGCTGAATCGAGGTCTTCGATTACTTGATGTCGATATTATACTCAAAATGGGTTTCTTCATTCGACATTTATATCGACATATCGAAGAATTACATCACAAACAACAATGCACCACAATAATGGCAAAAAGTCCATTTCAAGTATTTCGAGGTCAAGGTTTATCTATGCAAGACTTTGAAAACATGAAACGTTACAAAAGGAGGACTTATGTCTTTTAACAATTTTCTTTCGACAAGTCGAAATCGTAATATTTCGCTGGAAAACTTTGCACGCCCAGTAGCACTCGTGCCTGATTCAATTGATATACTCTTTGTTATGACCATCGATCCGACACTCTGTGCAACATTATCGACTCCTTTTGCCGACGTCAAAAATGTCGGCCACTACAAAGATCAAGAAGAAGAAATTCTTTTCTCAACACATACAATATTTCGTATCGATCGAATTGAATAAATCGAAGACAAACATACAGACCGCTTATGGCAAGTTAATCGAGAAAAATCTCGATTGATTCTTATCAGAATCCTTCAGATGACATGAAAAATCAATCGTTTTTTTTTTCATTTTTAGGCGTGCCGCATTAGAACCACCCTCAGTATTTAATAATGCAAATGCTAATACTTTTGCGTGAGGATTAGCCAATAATGGTAATGCTGAATCATCAGTGGCATTAGAATTTATTCATGCTTCGTTGTTCGCATTAAATTAGCATTATTTTAACGCTAACACATGTATCCCATCTAAAGTGTGGCGAATTACCTAGACGTGCTACCTGTGCCTTTTCAAGGGCTATCTGAACATTCTTTTTCTAATTTTTCAGCTACTAATTCTGTATAATGCCTGTATCTTATTTGTTTGGGTGGGTGTGGGTCAGTGTGAATGTTATAAAAGAGGATGCATACTTGTCTGAACACCGGGCACCCATATCCTAAGCGGAACAGAGAATTTCTTTTTTTCTTAGTTCACAAAATATAAATCATTTATACATACATAAAATCAGGTTCACCACTAAATTCTAGTGATGCTTGACTATTGTCTGTTTTATATTCAAGTGAACAATCAAGTAAAACTATTCGTGGATTTTCGATTCAGCTAAATAAGAAATCAAAAACTAACTCATTAATCATTACAGTTTATACAGCATCAAGTAATATTTGACAAGCCAAATCACTTCTAATTTTATTGGTCACAAATTATCTACATTTAGCATTTCATCATAATTTTTAATATCAATTGGTATACTAGCTTTTGTTTTCATTATTTCTATAGAATCTTCAAGTACTTTTTAATATGCATGAATAACTAGTGTTCCATGTAAACCTTGTTGAAGATATTGCACAGTTTGAGTTAATAATTGACGAGCTAAACAAATCATTCATCTACTTATTGTACATATAATATGTTGAAACTTCACTAAACTAATCACACTTGTTGTATCATTGTCGACTTCCTCATCTTGTGTTCTACTTATATCAATCATTAATTTACCAGTAAGATGTTGAATTTGAATCGAAATAATTCATATAAAAAAAATTGAAAAACTCAATCAGTCTAAAAAACTTCACGTAAAATAGTATTGCCATCATGTATTTAGACAATAATACCCATAGAATCAAGTAGCATCTGCTACAAAAAGTTTTAAAAGAAAATTGATCCAAGAGAAAAAAATTAAACTTTGAGCATTACTCATGGATCGAAACAAGTACGAATTCTATGTGCACTTTTCTTATAGAAAGGAGATAATTAGAAAAATTTTAAGGGATAAAAATGAATAATGCTCTAGTAACAAAAATATTCCTGAATAAAGCTTTTTTTTCGTTGATGCTGTTGTGTAATTGCATTTACAAAAATAGAGAAGGGGTCGATCGATTTAATATAAACTATCGTCTTCAGGGAGTATGCGCACAACTAATCGACTTTCTAGAATCTATATCTAATAGATTTCCATTTGTTCACGAGCTTCAAGCAAAAAGTTAAGTTGTAGACTGAACGCGTCTCTGGAAATAATGCTAAATTGCTGGAACTATACCAAAGAAACGTATCTGCAATGAATACTAACAACGTTAAAGTTCATTTCAAAAATTGATCGGAAGTTATTCATTCTACTCTTGTCAGTCAATACTTTCAATTGGACCACGCTCTTTGCATGTTTAATATCATCGAGTACATATTCTTTTCTGCCCTATGATGAAAAAAACGTAGTACTACACGAACATTATCGATATAGTGATCAATTTACTGACTTGATAGTTTAGTAGTTGTTGGACACCTGTACCAATATCTATGACTATTATAGGTTCAATATTTGATTTTTTCTCTTAACTTTCATCACGATGATGACTTGATAAAGTTCACCTCCCTGCTGACATGATACCACCCACGAATTTTTTAGTCTAAATGACAACTTAGGCCTTGTTGATACTCACGGTTGTCCATACACGTGTTCACATTGACAATTCCATCAAAATAGAATGGCCAAAGGAGAAAGTCATGCTTCAACTTGGCAAAAATTTACAATTGAGTTTGATGTTTAGCACCATTTCTATTTTGAAAGCATGTGTGAGTGTGGAAAAACTACCCACTCTCTTTCTGACTTCTTATGATGGTTTTATAATTTTATGTTGGAATATATTATTGTACCACATATATGATTATTATCAAGAGTGTTTGTCTTCACGGAGCGGGGGTTTCTGTGAAATATCATTATTGCAACTAAATTATAAGAATTGGAAGAGAAGTGTTGATACACAATTGATTGAAGGTGTCATTTGTACTTATACTTCAACAAACTTTTAGTAAAGTTATTGACAAAATAAATATAAAAACCAATTCTGTTTGTCATAGTTTTTTTGTTTTTATTATTTTCAATTATTAGCTGACAAACATAAGAAAAAGAAAAAAAGACAAATACAACAACAGCAAAAAAAAATAAAGAATAAGAATAAGATCATCTCGAACACAGACAGAAAGTTGAACTGAAGAAAAAAAGAATACGAACAAAAGAAATATTTGAATAAAATAGTTATATAAGAAAAAGAATTCTAT